CCTCATATTAGTACAATCTCGTACTAATACAACGCTTGACAATAAGGATTGCCAAGTAAATTAAGCAACCACTCAGGTAAAACCTTTTTTAACACATCCCTTTTCCTGGAGCTGTCGATGGAAGTAGCTAAGGAATGAACCGTGAAAAACCTTCAAAGTCCCTCAAAATAAACGTTAGCTTTTGAAATGCTGACCAGTGTTTGTCCTGTGTTTCTCCTTTGCCTTCTAACAATAAGCTCCAGCAAAGTGTTTTTCCATGTTCAGGCTTGATGGAGACTCAAGCGTCTCTGGGGAAGTAGGTATGCATTGGATTGTGAATATGAATAATGTAAGTGATGCTACAAAAGGGTGGCCTAATGGCTTTTGGTCGGAGTCGTCCCCTCTTTATTGCCTCTGGGAGGCTGGAGTGTAAATATGGAAAGAAGGTGATACAAGTGTTACACTGAGAGACCCCTCTGCCTTAGGGTCGTATTTAGGGATGTCCCGATCACCTTTTTTTTTTCTCCCGATCCGATTCCGATCATTGGATTTTGACAATTTGCCGATACCGATTTTTCCCGATCCCATCTTTATGCAATGCATTGCATTAAGAGGAAAAAAAGCATTCAAGTTGTCCCTTAAGGTTATTTTTTTATTTAAATTGGATATTCTATCCAACATGGATATAGCTTCTTTCTTTCACAGCAGCATTGGATCAGTTCAGTTGTGCAGCATTGGATCAAAACAAAATAAAGCTTATCAGTACTCGTTAGCTTACTGCTACAATTAGACACTGCGCCCTGCCCACTCTGTTGCCAGATTTGAGAGAAATAAGCAACCAGGTCTATGAAAACAAGCCCCAAAGAAGCAACACATACATGATGTTGTGTAATTTGAAACCAAAACTAAGGCCTCAGAATGACTTTAAGACTTGAACATGGTCATTTTTGTTTTGTAACATTGAATACAAAATTAAAAAAAAGTATTTAAAAAAAAAAAAAAGAAGAAGAAAAATCCCGATCCCCGATTTTTTCTCCCGATTCCGATCTTTTGAAAATCACGTGATCGGCTCCGATCCCCGATCACGTGATCGGATCGGGACATCTCTAGTCGTATTAATATAGTAATGGAATTAGGTTTATAGCCCTGTTTCTGCAACCAAGTAATCAAGGCTTTTATTGTCATGTGTACATAGCTACAGTGTTGTTATGACAATGAAAATCTTAGGTCACAGGCTCCTCCAACAGTGCAACACATTAGGCGCTTTCACACCAAGTACTTTGCCGTACTTAGTTCATGAGAACTCTTTAGTTCTGATGAACTAAAGAGCAGATCGCGTTCACACCGGAATAAGTTCCTGGGGGTGGATTAGGTAAATGAAGCCGCTGACGTCACTTCTTCTTCTTCTTCTGCTTTGGGTTTACTGGCAGGCCGCAAACAACTTCACGGCGTATACTGCCACCCGAAGTCCCCGGCCGGAAGTCCCCGGAGTAAATTGCCAGAACGCCGACATTTACTCATCACTCCACCGCTCCCACATTTAATTTTGTGTTGCCATAAGTTAGTCTCTCTTCGTTGGTGCGCTGGGCTAATGCTAATAATGCTAATGTGAGCAAATAAAATGGCTTTTGAGTTTTACGGGGCGTGGTTTGCAATCCGCCCAGCCAATCAGAAATGGGAACCTTTTTCTCCCATGAAAGTAGACTGAAAAGGGGGTGAAAAGGTTCTCATTAACTAAGTTCTAGTTCCGGATTTTTTTGGTGTGAACGCACATTTTCTGAACTATATCAGAACTATACTGGGAAAAGTACTCCGGTGTGAAAGCGCCTAATAAAACAGATCAAATAGTACAAGTAAATAAAATAAAATAAAATATAATATAATAGGAGCAGAATGATTACAGACATAAACACTTTGCTACATGCAAACTAGATTATGCTATCAGCTTGTCTGAAGTATTGCTCATCATGTTTTTCTCCATGACAACAGGCAGACCTCAGAGTTCATGGAGTCCTGAACAGATTTGGTCATTGCATTCTGTAAATCTGTGCAAATATTACTTAAGCATTCTCCTCAAATCCCACATGACAATGTCCCAATCTTGTTTGCTGTAAGAGGTCACTGTGTGATTCTGTAATCAGTTTTCCAAATATCCTCGTTCCCATCACTGTCAGCCCAGGACAGGCGCAAGTCCCCGAATCAGAGACACTAAACTTAGCAAACTCATTTGTTCTTTTATGCTGACGTAGCTCCATGGAGGTTTCCTGTAAACAAACAAGTCATGTTTACATTCACTGTTCCTCATCTTGTGATTGTTGAGGTCTGAAAATGTGTTGAATATATTCATTTTCCCAGAAACAATTTGGGTTTTCTATTCCAAATTGTGCTTTGTTTACGCCCTTGTTTTCTGTCTTTCAGTCTTCTTACTCCCTGCCTTTGTTGCCACATTGTTGGGGCCTGTGAAACATACCGGCACTTCACAGGGTACCTTTAAGTACAGACTGAGATTGAAAGTAATTCAGGAATCATTTGTTAAATATTTAATCAATTATGTCGTCAGAAAATAACTGCACGATAATGGTTATGATAATCAAAAAATATTGTTTATCAAGCAAACATGCCAAATATGCACAGGAATCTGAAAGGTGATCAATTGCTGCTTTTTGTATCCAAGTAAGTTCATTTTCTTTAGATGTTGGACTGTAGGTTGGATAAAGAGTATTTGAAGAACTCACCTGGGGCTTTGGAAACTCATGGCAGTCTTTTTACGATTTATTTACAACTTTTTGCAGTTTGTTTTGCTCAGATTCTATGATTCTTTGCCATTTCACTTTCCTTCCTGTATCGTACACTCTGTTCTCCCAGTGGTCTCGTAGCCCGGACAGTCGGGGGCTGCATCAATCAGCCCTTGTTTGGATCCCTTGCTACGCAGCAGCAGTCCTCTCCCTCAGCTCCCATCCCATTTTCCTCCAGAGAGCTTCAGGTTTCATTGGTATTCATAGACAGTGCCACCAACATAGCAGAGTATGTTACATTCCCATTCTCTCCATCATTGACAGTATAGATCACAGTGATTGTCTGACCAGTCGCCCACAGTGCTGACAGTCAGCTTATTTTTCATAGCTCGACTTCTCAGGTGCATGAGGAACTTTCACTGAATGTATGTGAAGCAAGACAAAACCCATCTGTCAGAACTGCACTTTCTCTCATCTCATCTAGCCCTTAGGGATTTGTAAAAAACAATGGTGTAAAATTATACATACAGAGGCATCACCTGGGCAGTAGCACAAGCATAACGTTTTCTTAGTAAGGATTTACACAGTAACATGTCAGCAGTTTAACAGGATTTACTCAGGTTTTGAATAGAGTTAGCTGTGATGTTTTTTTCCAGTCGTAAACAATTTTAATTCAAATGTAATCCCTGAATACATTACTGGCTCCTGCTCACACTCCCCACAAAGTCCTGTCACAGAACTGCACCTCCTCTGCTTTCTGTTTATCTCGCTACATTCCCCCTCCTTCCCCCCCCCCTCCTCTCGCTGTCATTGCAGTGTTTTGGCCGCTGTCCCGTTGCCATGAAGAGACCTCAACAATGCCCCCTCTCTGTCAAAGCACATCGCTGCCCGAGGGAATGCTTGTTTAATAGTGACATGCTTCAGCAGGGGAAACACAATGTCTCCCAGCTGCACTGGTTTATAGACTCATACTGCTGTTCCCTCTGATCATCAGGCTGCGTCCAACTCAGCCTCATCAGTAGCCATTTGTTTTGCCATGAGACCTGGTATCACACTGAATATTACTAAGCTTTGTAGTTGTCGAAGCGAGATGTTGACCTGTTTATTTGGCATCAGCATATCTTTCTCTCGAGAGCAAAATAAAAAGTTTTGCGTGTTGTTCTCAAGAAGATATTTATGGCTTAACAGACACCCTGTACAGTTTGATACTCTATAGAAAGCTATACTCAATTGTCTTTTAAGTTGCACGACATTGGTCTCGCTGCTCATTGGTTCTCTTCTATGCAAACTGTTGAATAGTGCAGCATTTGAAGAGTAAATGTTCCGTGCGTTCACTGCCTCAGTGTGACAGCCCCCTACTGTCTGTGTTGTTTTTAGCCAAAGTCTGAATAATTGACAGCGTGTTGCCCCAGTGTTTACCTTCAGAGACTATGCAGAAGAAACCGTACTCCAACATGGGTGTACAGGGAGCGCAGGGGTACAGTGCTGAGTGGACAAAGCCAAGAGTCCCTCCCATGAGGGTCTTTGTCTGGCCGTCAAAGCCTGGGCAAACTAATGTTTGAGTAGGAGATTCAAGTTTAGCAGCGTGCCAAATGTGAGTCATGGTGCTGTGAGTGAAGCTGCTGTCCCAACAAACTAACCCAGCTATTCTTTTATTAAAACAACTTGAACAGACTCCCATCAAGTAGTTTTCATCAAAAAGAAGTGGGACTATTTCTGAGAAGATGATCACTCTGATTTATTTTACTAATCAATTCATTTCATCTTAATAAAATCACCAGGATGCCAAAAAGCAATTACTGTGCTTTGTTCCGCCAGGGAGTCAGGGCATTTGCTCAGGTCAGTCTGTCGATAAATCAGTCGCGCAGAGTACAAAATGGTATTAGGCGTAGAGTTTGAGGGGCCGATTTAAGGCTTATTATCTTGTGCTTCTGAGCAAATGATGTAATCCCTACAGAAGATAATGTTGCTTAACAACTGAAAGACACATTGTACAGAAACACAGGAGCTTAGATTGTTTCTTTTGAGGTGGTCTGTTTCATTATGCGTCACAGTGCTAATGTGAGTTATTAAAAAGAGCAATTTCTAAAAGAAAACTGTAGCCATGGAATCCACCCCGCACACTTGATACATCTATGGCGGAAGTTTACGTCACCCACACGAAAATACTTCACAGGCCTTGTTGTGAAAGGAATGAAGACTGACTGGTTGGCTTCTGTCTCTGCGCTCGTCTCACCTTTTACCCTGACTCACTTGTTTTTGTTCTGTGTCTTTGTCTTTCAACAGCTCCCCTCTCAGATCTCAACACAAACCCAACCAGGCCTGACCCGGAGGGCGAGAGCAGCCCCCCGATGATGGACACTGAGAGAATGGAGTCTCCGGTTAAGAAAGAAACAGACCGTAGATTGACTACCCCGACAAAATCTGACGTCATCCCTCGACCACCTGGGTCACCTGCGTCTCCTATGTCCAGGTTGAAAAGTCCTAAAGGTAAATAGAAATGTCTCTACTTGTTTGACTCGTATACAGATCAGTTGCTTAAAGCTTAAAGCTACATCAATCAATCAATCAATGTTTATTTATATAGCCCAATATCACAAATGTTACATTTGTCTCAGTGGACTTCACAGTTTGTACAGAATATCAGTATGACAATACGACACCCTCTGTTCTTTGACCCTCACATCGTACAAAGAAAAACTTCCGGAGAAAACCCCACAGTTTAAAGGGAAACATGGGAGAAACCTCAGGGAGAGCAACAGAGGAGGGATCCCTCTCCCAGGACGGACAGACGTGCAATAGATGCCGTGTGTAAATTGAAAAGATAATACATTTGCAACATACATACATTTGGCCTGACAAGAAGCAGTGCTCTTATAACGATGCATTTACATCTGCAATGGGATTGAGTTAGGTCAGGTCTCTTGAGGTAAAGTAATGCTTCAGTATCTGAGGTATAGTGACCACATGCTTTCAGACGTGGAGCCAAATCCAATAGAGTTGCTGCAGTTGTTGGAAAACCCATGGAACAGAATCTGTTACGTGAGAACATCTCTGCTTTGGGCTCCAAGATTTTAGTCTAGAATACAATTTGTTTATGGACAAATGAGCTTTCTCTGTAAGTGGATAGCTAATACTGCAACACAATGGTCTGTAATTAAAGGTGGGCTTAATGACTAGCCAAGTGTGCATTTAGTTTGACCTGTCTGTTGCACCCTAGCCTTTCCAAAATGCCATCACTTAAAGTCCTTGGAGCCTCTAGCTAGCAGCCCATGCAAACTCTAAGGAGCATGTTTGAGGGGTTTTGGAGTTTAAGCCTCTTTTCTCTGTCCCCTTTATTCTTTATCCATTAATCCATTCAGTGTGGTCATGGTCTTTAGTCCCTTAGAGAGAGGTGATGTGGATAACACCCCCCCCTTCCTCCAATAACTCCCAATACTTCCAGTTTGGAATGCTATCAAGACTTTTGTGATATACTGTTGTATTTGTCTGGTCTAATTAAGGGAGATATGCAATAAGTCCTTATTCTGCTGATTCCAAAGTTGACCTACATTTCCCTTTTGTCCTTCCAAGTTCATTTTCCAATGATTTTGTAAAGCGCTTTACTTGTGAGGTTTTACACAGCCCAGCGCAATATAATGAAGATTAAAATCACGTTGTTGCCCCTAATTAGTAATAAGTAAATTCTAGGAAAGGTACTGCTAAGGTATTTTGTCACATTTCAAACATTGCTTTGTGATAGCAGAGATGTGTTGGTATCCATGACAACCTGCTCTTGTTGTTGGGGTCAGTAAAAATGTGAACATTTAAGAAATCTTGTTCTTTATTATATCTTAACCGTGTCTATTGAATTTGCACAGGAGAGTTGTACGTCACATTATACAGTGTACCCTGCACTGCTCCTATTGTACTGCAATTTAGAGGAATTACACAGAGCTGTCATTTTGAGTGTGTGCACAGTCTGGAGCCCAAACACTGCACCTCACAGTATTTACTGGGCCAGTCTGTTTTTGTCTTGAAACCTTTGTGCATGTGACGTTATGATTAACATGGTGGTGAGTTACAAACAGGAGCTCATCACACCCGTGCACATGGGCCACAGTCCTATAAATATCAAGTGGGTCAGAGGTTTTTCTTAGGGAGAGCTGCATGGCAGATTGTTTTCTTGTTTGTGAATCACGCCTCCTGCTGAAGGATGAGTTCCTTTGTTTGATGTTGAACATCTGGTCTGAGAAGATTGAGGGGGATGATGAAGAATGAAGGCTCAAGAAAGATCAAGCCTGTAGCCAGGGCCAGTGAATACCAGTGTTATTGGTTGTAGTACACAATACACTGAATATACCATATATGATTTAACATGGTTGATACATTTTTTAGTTAACCCTTTTCAAGCTCATTTAATTTTTGTTGGGCTGCAGAGATAAGTTGACATAATTTACAAGACTTTCATAAATGGGGAAACACTTTTATAAAAGCATGCTTTGGTTAAAACATTTTTGGCTAATTTTGATTCAAATCTACTTTTACGTGTGTTAAAAATTGCTGAAACTAGACGTGTAGAATTTGAATTGGATACCAATTCCACACGTCTAGTTTCAGCAAATGTTTCTACTGAATGAAATATTTTGTGTCAACTTTAGTAGTAAATATTTATTTGTATTTAGGTGTATTCTTTGGAGGGTGAACAAAAGGCACAGTTCACCTTTGTCAAGTCAAAATGAACCTGAACCTGTTATCACCGAAGGTTGCATTTTGAATTCTTGAAATGGTACAGTTCGGTGTTAGATTGCATTGCTGTTCTCTATGAGTGGATCCATTGCTTAGGAATGTAATGTGTGAGCTGTGAGCACACCTCAGGGATGTCACAGAGGGAAGAGATATATGTAAGTGCCCCCCCTGCAGTCATAACATATCACATTCAAACATACACCCACCCACATACATATGGCATAGGAGAAACTGTATATGGGCCCTGCCACATGCTGCAGCTTTTATTTGGATAAGATCGTATTTCATAAGAATATTTTCCCCATGCAGTTGTAATTTGTGCCTTTTTCCAATCCAGAGAATAAGGCACGCAGCTTCATCCTTTGATGAACATCAGTGGAGAACATGTTGACATTGCCACTTTCCTGTCATTGTCTTGTGGCATGGATTTCCTACTGGTGACATTTAATAGTTAAAAGCTTCTGTCCTGCTGATTTGCAGCTTTGAAGAAAAAGTGTATTCTTATATTTATGTTTATCGGTGGGCAGGAATCACTGTGGACTCAGGTCGGTTTTGAGTTGAGGGCGATTGGAAAGGCAACATAGATACATTTTTTAAAACATATTTGAGTAGCTTTCTGGGAGTTAAGTAGCTCATGTGTTAAATGGGTGTATGTATTCGTATGCCCCTGAATTGAATTGATTCTATATTGTATTCCAAACAATGGATATAATACTGTATCTGTGGTAACACTTGTGATTTACAGCCCTAGTATACTATTCTCTTTTCACCCCATAGTAGTTATGTAGCTTTGTGGTAACTTTGATATTTTCTGCATAACACAAGTCATCCTCAAGGACTGATTCCAATTAGGTTGAGCTTAACTAACCCGCTTTAATTGAGTTCTTAGTAAGAGCTTTTTAATCTTCTTAAATTCTCATTTATATGGAAGTATGTCATGAATCTCACTCGGTGAGGCAAAGCATCCTCAGATATTGAATTTCTCTCAGGAGGTGATGGTGTTGCAGATCATATGGTACTCTGTTTGTTTTTGACCTGCTAGGAAACATGAAGATATGTAAAGATGTGTTAACTATTCCAAATCAAATGCTGTGTGACTGTGATCTGATGTGGCTAAATGAATTTGACTTGATGACGTAAGCTGGCAGTATGACTCTTACACATCCTCTTCTTATTTTTCCTTCCCCATCCATCTCTTCCCAGACATCATGAAGTCAGAGGACAGGCAGAAGCTTGCCAAGGAGCGGAGAGAGGAGAAGGCCAAATATCTTGGTAAGTGGAAACTTTGGGTGGAAGGAGAAGTGTGTTTTTAAAAGGAAGAGAGCTCCCCCTAGTGTTGGGGTGAAAGTGGTTGTTTCACATCTGCAGTTGTATTTCTACTATGCTGCTAAAGGCTGCAGATGGCATGCACACACGTAGCACAGAGAGAATCAAATGGTAGTTTGGGCTAGTGCACAAAAGTGACTGAAATCTGAAAAATCCAAACCTCAAATGTTACACAAGACGAGCGAGCTTCCAATTTCTACATGCATGCTGAATTTCAATAAGCTGTGTCTAAATGTTTGCTTTTGATACGCTTCTTTGACACATTATTGCAGTATCCTGGACCAACATATATTTATACAATTTGACTTAAATGGAGATATTCCTCACATTGACAAAGATTACATTATTTTATCTAATTGAGTTAATAAAGTGAACTATTTTTGCAACTTTTTGCTGTGTGAGGAAAATCTCCTATGACTTTAAAATCTGTTTAGTCATCACAGCAAAGCACATTTGATCCCAACTTGAATTGATGTAGTTATATCAATTGGTGCAAACGTTCCTTTAGTGCCTTTCCCTTAACACGGCTGTACTCTTTTGCATCAGATGATATTGCATCTCTCTGCCCAAGTCTTTATTTTCTGTTGAACACACGGCTGTCACTTTGTCTCCTGGCCACACACTGGTCGTGCACTGCTTTGCATGTCTGACAGTTGCCTCTGCCTTCTCTCTCACTCCTTTCCCTCCTGCAGACGAGCTCAGCATGTTACAAGGTAAGCCACTCACCTATATGTATGTGGTGGTGGTGGTGATGGTGTTGGTGATGGTGTTGGTGGTGGTGACCCATTTGAATCATTGTGTTACATTTGGATGTCTCCGTTTGATTAGGTTTAGTAGTTATAACTAGAGTTGGGCAATAAACCGTAGCACCAATACACAGACATTTGGATCAATTAACAAACTTGCTTATGTCGGTATTTTTGTTAATGTCTTTCCATAATTGCTGTAAGATGCATTTGTTAAAAAACACATTCATTGTCATGCTTTGGCCCCCTCTCTCCTTAATACCATTTTTTTAAATAGCAAAGCAGCAGGTATAATAATGAGTATTAATGCTTCATTAGTTAGGCGAAGTTGTAGCTTATTCATAATATAAGCTTAGAGAAAAGATATTGCATACTTGCTGTAATCAGTGAACCCCTATCGAAGGCCACAGTGACGCGTCCTAAAACCCGGAAGTAAGTTAGCATTTTACTACTTCCGGTTCCTTCGACAAAAACCAATGCAATTTCTCCATAAGATTTTGGAAAATAGCTCGAAATAAGGTCTGTGGTTGACACACATTGAAGAGACAGATCACGTTTTGTTCAGCCGGATAATATCCACATGTCTACCCTACTTTTATAATTTTCGAATCATAAATCTAAATCGATATATTTATGATCGATAGATATATGATTAGAAACTCTATAGAAGCCCACACAAATGATTTGTGTGGGCTTCTATAGAGTTTCTAATCATATATCTATCGATCATAAATATATCGATTTAGATTTATGATTCGAAAATTATAAAAGTAGGGTAGACNTTCAGCCCTGTTTCAAAAGCGCTGATTCTGTGTCTGTTACTTCAGATGAAAATAAGGAGCCCCTCCCCACACAATGGTGCTCTAGGAGGAGATTCAGG